TCTGCAGCCGATAATACCTATGAACCACTCTGAGAGGTGAACATGGAGGCACAAATTAAGTAGAACGAGCCCCTCCAAGCGGAAGTGTGGGGCATATGTATCCCGCGCTGTCCTCAATAAGTTAAAAATCATTTAATTTCTCAAAAATTCCGACAAGAGACCTCATTTTTCGGAAACATGAAGTTGGTGTATCGAAGAGCAGAGAAACTATCCAACGTGAGATGTCCAAATGTAGAAAGAAAAAAATATGGGCGATGAAATGTTCGGTAAACATCGGTCTATACAGAATAAATAAAAGGGAACCACATACCGAGTGCATGTCATCTTCCGTTGGAGTCATCACTCGAACGTCATCGCTAACCGATCCGCTTACGGCTGTCACCATACTTCTGGTGTCATTCACGCTCTCATACGATTTTACTGATGATAATCCTTTTGATGTGGCTGATAAGTACGATGATAGCGACAATTGATCGGCACCATCATCTAAATCAACTTTTTTTAAATAAAAATTTCTTCTAATCAATAACTTCAAAGTAACACCTTCATCTGGGCCACCATTGTCCACGATTTTTTCACGCCAGCTCCTCCGCCGTTCCTTTTTTGAAACAGGTGTGTGTGCAGGTGCATCATGTTTATCCTAATAAATCGATAAGCTGTGACTATAAAATCCGCAGTAACAGTAATATGAATGTTAAACCTTTTGTCGAAAGCATTTCCTACAGCGATCTTTCAGATAATTCTGTGACTCGAAACCACTACATACATCTGCCATGGGGAAGTGTACAAAACGAACTGCGGCCGCAGGTGATTTCAGCAAGTCGATCTACGTCTGAATATCACACAGGATGTGATCTTGAAATTTTAGTAGAACAAAAATTGTGAAGTTTCGCTTGTAGAGTCATACAAGTGTAAAAGAAGCATCTAAGACGCCTGAATTGGGGAAAATAAACACCAGAATTTGATACTTTTGACGGGTCACTGTGGAGGGAATATCTGCAGAACGAAACGAGATCCGGATTTCTCCCAAATCTCTGAGCAAACAACACGCCAAGAACATTTCCATTGGGTGCCGTGAGCAATCGATTTCTTACGAGCTCTGACAGACCGCACTATCACAACTGTTCCGAACGCTCGAATGATCTAAAGATCTTCCGTTGTGGACGGAAATGACTTGTGTAATTTGTGAGGAGCGGAAGCAGAACGTACTCTGAGGAAGCTATTGAGTAACTGATGAGCGAGGCAAGAGGGTTAAAGGTCATCCCATCTCCTAGAAAGGTCATTCTCCCCAGGAAAATCCTCAATTACTGACCTCGATTTTGTGTAAACAATAGGATTGTGCGTAGATTTACCTTTGAAATTTTTTCTGCTCGAAGAATAATGCAGAAGTTAAATGTATGAATACAGAAGTAGATGCATAAATTCATACGAGGGGTTTACACGTTAAAGCAGGCAACAAAGAGTGAGTGAACACTTAGCCTGAGCAGTGTTGTGTAAAGCGTCGAACAGATCGACGCTTTGGCCATGTGGCTATCTTGTCGGAGAGAAGCGCCTGACAGAATGGAGGTGAAATATGACTACGAATGTATGGCTGCAAAAGTGGTAGTGTAATACATATGTGAACTGGTAACTTTTCTGGGAAATCAACTTTCGAATGTGACCGACATTTTTCACAAAGTGTAAAACAATTTTTGATAAATCGGAAAACTTCGCTAGAGATTTTGGAAGGGAAGTGAACAGCCGGCAATTCAAAGCCGAGTTTATGATAAAAAAAGGCAACCCTTCAGAAATCAAGGTAGAGATGGTCAGTGTTCGAACCCAGGAAATAGCATCCCTTCCCTTCCCTTCTCTTCCCACTGATTTCCGCATTGATGCAACCCTCATCGTTGCTGCCCTCTTCGACGCTAATGCTCTCTCTGCCAAATCCCAAGAATTAGACGGCGAGGGGTAGTCTATCAGCGGGCGTGCAGAGACGCGAGCGACGTACGTATGGCCCCGCTACGCCGCTGGGTATACTCTTAGCTGCGAAATGCGAATCAAAAAAGGCTGTGGGATTCTGCTGATTTCGGTAATTCCGTTAAGTAAAAAATGTTCAATGAAGTTGCACTAAACGCAACCAACGCATGTAGAACACAACGAACTCTTCATTTTACTGCAATCGTTTAGAAAAGTACTGCTCATATGGTTTCCCTTTCCGACAAGAAAAATGCTCCACACACCCAGAAGTTCCTAACCCTGCAAAAATTGGGATTATTGTATGAGACGCGAATTGAAGCACCACGATGCCCTATCCCCTCCCAAGCCTAAACATTGTCACACCTAACTCTACAGAACTTTACTCACTTATTGTTCTAAAGAACTAACATTTGAATTTCTTTGTTCAAGTGATTTCGCGCACCAGAGTATCTCCGACAAAAATTCAGTTCGATATAATCCAAAACTTACATATATGGCTAGTCGATCGCACGACAGGCGTCCACTAGTATTAGGTTGGAAAGAAAGTTCTGCAACACTCTTTCTAAAATTTTCTTTTTTTCTGAAAAATTCATAGGTAACATTTATGACTACCAAATGATAGAGCATTCTCAAGGCTTCAATCCACGAGGTGGATAATAAGCTGCAGTCAGTAGTTATCCAAGAAAATTCAAAAAATCTCGACCACTAGCAAATCCGTACTCCGAGTCACTGTCTAGTACAAATGTCTACAAAACCTATGGATTCGTGTCAACGACTGACACTATCTGCAATAGCTTCAATAGGCATGCCGTTCACCGCTACAGCGTGTTTCACCTTTACCAGCGCTTCCGATCTTTTGATATTTTTATAAGAAGCCAGCAGCGTCCCTCACACTCCATTGCCGGTAGGGCTCTTACGGAAGCTCAACTACAGATTCTTCGTTATGGGCACCATTGTGTAGGTAGAGGCCTAGGCTGTGGAATACCAGAAGCTGGCCGAGGCAGCTCGTCAAGAGCCCTCGTACCGCGACAATATTCATTTCTTTCATGACATTGCGAATCACCATGATCCGAAATGAGCCCGGTAAGAAATTCTGGAGTTGCGGCAAGTTGGACTTCTTTCCACTAAATAATAAATATCACGTGTGAGCTGTAACTGAGTGCAACCTATCCTGAGACTTTAATCATCATCTTTATAACGAAATAATCAGACGATCAACTCCAACTCGAAAGTGAGGTCGCCTCCTTTCTCGACTCGCACTCCGCTGGGTTTTGGCAGAGGAGGATCAAGAAATTTTCTGAGCGATGGAGACAAGTGGTGGACACTCATGGTAGATATAAGACCGGCCAGGCGGCGGGTCAGGAGTTGTAACCAAAAAAGATAAAATTAAAATCAAAAATTTGAAAAAGTGTTGCAGGACTTTCTTTCCAACCTAATATGTGATTCGCTTGAGTCGATACTAAGCAGTATACATCAACGACAACAACAGATATATCAACAATAACGCTGACTAGACACGTAGAGGTTTTATCAGAACACCTGACTACAAACCTGTACAAAATTTCAGTCGCTGTGAATGTGACAGAGCATTAGTCTGGTGTAGCTCGCAAATGGAGAGAGGTATGAAAAATCCAGCGCGAAAATATTCCTGAAATGCCCTCGATAAGCAGTAGTGACCTCTCGTCCATTCTTCTTATTTTCGGCTTCGGTCCCGCGCAGTTTACTCCTCGAGGCCCTCGCATACTGACTACAAAACTCGGGCAGGGTTCTGCGCTCCAAGTTTTATCTTTGATACCTTTTTTCGACTTTGGACATATTTTGTGTGACTGGGGTGTTCATCAGCCGGCCTGTCAACCTGGGCCTGACGCTGGTACTAGAACCATTTTTGCAATTTTTGCAAGGCATGGTTAACCTCGGCAGGGATCGAACTCGCGGTTTTTAGAGGCAGCATGAGATCTATACTCCCAACCACTCAGCCATCCCTGTCTCAACCCCTTGCACATTATCCTTGCTTTACACAAGATAATAAGCTTACACTCCCCCACATGCTCAAAGAATTGCATCGCAATTGCTTCAGCAAAACAGGGCGTAATTTCCTAGATCAAACTGTTGGTGAACAGGTTACTAGAGGCCGTCACTCTGACTTTGCAGGGCCATTGCAAGCCTGTACAACATCTCTGTAGTCTACGATGCCATGTGTAATGCCTTTCAGAAATCAACCAGCCGGATCTGGCTACGACACCTAGATGGACCTGGGCCAATCTCGTGCCTATGAAGTTTAAGCATTAAGTGAAGTCTGACCATTGAATTAAGCAACCTGATAAATAGTATATTCATCCAGTCATGGTATACCGTCAGGTCCTCCAAAACTAGATACCGGTGCATGACGCTCGAAAAACGCTCAATTGGCTGGAATCCGAGGAACCTGAAACCTTAGGACGAATAGCAGAAGCGCGCTGTCTGACCTTGATCATCAGGACCGAAGGCCGCTCACCTGGCGGAACTTTTCTGTGCTGTTAGTGAAGATGACTGTTCTGAAGATGAGCGATAGTTTGAAATCCGCTGTTTCATTTTTATATGGTTACATCCATTTAGGTTCAACTTTGTGTGAGTGATTCAGCGCTGTAAATAAAAAAAATAAAAATATGACGTATAAAAATATTCCACAAACGTATTTCTTTGTCCATTTTACACAAATTTTTTTCAAGCGAAAATCTCGAATTCTCTACGCGAAGCTTACATGTCAAATCTCGGAGCCAACCTCTTCCTTTCACCTGTTCTTCGCCGATTACAGGTGGAAAAATATTTACTATTACGATATTGAGTAGAGCTCAAAAGCATTACTTACAATTTTGAAGTACTACTTTCTTATGGACTAATCAAAGGAATAGTTTTTCAGGTTCGTCATCTGCGAATGTAGGGACAGGGTGGTATCACCGTGACATCCTATCTACTGATGACCTCGGCGATGTTGAAGATCAACTAGGAGTTCTGGTGGTCCTTTAACCCTTTCCGGACCGCCTGACACCCATGGTGTGTCAGGGAACCATTTTCCCGAGGATAAGGTTTTTCGACAAAAACTTTTATGTTGTTACATATCTATGTAAGATACTCATGTCGTACGTACGAAAAAACCTAGACTTCAACCTCAAACTGTCCCTAAAATAACTAAATACTAAATGGATGTCCACTTTGAGCTCAGCGAAAACAGTTATAAATCATTTTAAAACTCTTCATACAACAGAATTTATGACACTACCTGCATGTCGTATCTGATGCGATTAAACTCAAACGTTTCGGACACTTTCCCGCTCCCTTTTCCCCATTACAACTTATTTTGAGCAGTTTTCATTCCTGCCTCCCTTTTATGGCCCTATCACTTTCATTATGCAACAGTTTTCTGTCATATTCACTATATATGTCCTCTTAATCATGAAAAATACAAAACGGGACAAAGTAATGATTTCAGTGGAAATACAGGGCAATATATTATACCAGTTGGCGCCGCACGCATTGCGCGCGCAACACAGATCTGTGGCGAATTTTGATGGTGCGACGAAAATTTTCAAATTTGGCTTGATACAATACGAATATCTGAATTCTCCGCTAAATTCTATCCGCTCTTTCTTCGTCAACCATTATCCTCTTTTTCTCGGTCCTCGGCCCGGACAATAAATCTCGTGGCGAACTCCGTCTACTTCGGTGCGTGCCCTGCCACCAATAGCATTTGGCCCCTTCCTTTCGCCGACCTCTACCCCTTTTTCACCGGTCTCTGGGACCTCTTGGAACCAAATTACGACACTTTTGGCAAACTCCGCC